AAAAAAATTCACAATTATATAGCTCTAGTTCCTATATATATATATATATATATAAACATATCTTCTGTTTAGTGTGATGCTTGAATCCACTTGAAAGATCTTTGAAATTCGTATATGATAAAGGAGAGGATAAGCTTATGCCTTTCTGCGACACTACCAAAAGATGGCAAAGAGTAGAACATTATTGCTTTTACTTTTTATTTTCAAGAAAAAAATAATGTTTTTTTTATCAATAATTATTGCTATTATAATGAACATTGATGACATTGTGAATTCTGGTATAAAATCATTACGAACCAGTACAAGCAATATAAATTGTTGTGGTAATAATGAGCCAACTCTGTGTATATATGCTTGGGAAGTTGCTATTCTACTTTTCTATTTTATTATCATATTTTATTATTTTACTGCTAAATCATTCTCTCTCTCTTTTTATTTATTTTTTATTTTTTTAATATATTATTTTACTTAAATTACTATGCCTAAATTAAGAATCAATTTATTCAATGGTATTGAGTTTGACAACTGACAAGGTTCTTCATTACTTTTGAGTTGTAATGAATTTGAAAATCACCCACAAATCATGAATATTGTTTAAATTAAAATTAGAACAAATATTAAAGTTACTAAATTAAAAGTTCGAGGTTCAAAGCAAATGCGTATAAAAGACAAATGTGAGTCTGTGTGTGTGTGTGTGTGTGTTTTTTTTTTTTTTTTTTTTGTTTGTAAACCTTGAGTAGGGTCTAGGCCCAAATACATGTGCCATCCATGAAATATAAAGCAAAGCCTATAAAGGTAGGTAGTTTAAGCCCAAATATATATCTCATCCCCTTTTTTAATAGACGAAGTCCATAATGGGCCTATATGTTTAAAATAACTTCAGCATTGAAGCTCCGACTCAACTTATTGCCAGGCCTCATCCCGGTTCAGATCCAAATAAGCCCAACTGCCAATATATATAATCATACACTAGGAAGTGCGGACATGGGATACTGGTATAGAAATCGAGTAGGTATGAATACCAAATCTTAAAAAAATAGAACACGAGTAGGTATGGATACATAAAAATAATAATATAATATATTATTATATACATAAATTAATTTTGTTACCATTTTATCCATATAATGGTGAATACATCACTAATTTGGAGTTTATAAATAGATGTTTGTTATTTTTGTTTTTAAATTTTATATTATCTTTCTAATTAGTCAATAATATATTTTAAATTGCATTAAATTCCATTATTCTAAAAAATAATAATTATAAAATCATCCGATCGTATCTTGAAAGTGTCCAAAACGCATTCTTACTGTGTTTGTGTCATGTCCCGGCCGTCCAACCAGAAAATAAAATATTCAATTTTTAGAATACTTTTAGCCATATTCGACACATATCTAGATCGTATCCTCATATTCCACAAGTTTCCGAATATTCGATATGTAACACCCCGTATTTTTAAATGATTTATTAAATAGGAATTTATTTAGTTTATTTGGGTTAAATTTATTAATTATTAATTGTTATATGTATTTTGTATTAATATGTCTAGTCATTGTTCCTATTATGAATGATTTCACTTATGAAATATTGAATTGAATCTACCTACGCTTCGTTATTACTAGGTTTTATAAATAAATCTAAAATTCATGATTGATATTGTAGATTTTGATATGAACCCTAGTTAGGCTTTTGAGTACTTGTAATTTCATGTTTAAACTTGTTAAAATCCATTGATCTTACCTCGGGTAAAGTGCATTAAACCACCCTGAACTATCTTCTCTTTCTCAAAAAACCCTTTGAACTATCAGAAAGACACTTAACCCCCCCAGCCAATCTTGTTTGTTGCAAATCGTTAAGTCCAATTAGAAATCTAACAGAAATTAGGGCACGTGGGTCACGTGAAGGGGGAAACAAATTTAAAAAGACGAAATTGACTGTATAACTGCCACAACCATGTCCACCTTACAACCACCATGGTGGACCACCATCAGCAATGTTACTAGAACCACCTGGTCTCCACACACCACCATCCCTTCGTTGTAACTGCCACCACCATCCCCAACTTCATAATCGGTAGGAAAATAAAGGCGTCGCCACCACCATCTCCACCACACAATTAGCAGCATCGGTGCCTCCACCACCATCTCTAACACACAATTAGTAGCATCGGCGCCGCCGCCACCATTCCCACCCCAAAACCACCACCACATATTCCCGATAAATCCTGTAAATGAATACCCCATCAATGAGAAAAATTCTAACTGAGTCACAACACTTTCTCTCTTTGACTCTATTTTTTCATCGATTGAGAAATAAATCTAGCCACCTCTAGCGAAATAGTGCAACCAATTCTTAACCAAACGATTCGGGCGAACGGCTACAATCTCTTCTATGACGCCATGAATGATCCAGATGAAGATATGGATGCATAGATTGATTTGGCCGGCTTTGAAGCAGGCATGAAGCTTGGCCCTTGATTGCAGTAAAATTAGAGATGATCGGCCACTTTCAGGATGTTCCTTTTCATATCATGGCGGTGTTGGTCTAGGCTTGGCGCTGATCTTTGCAACCTCTTTTTTAGCCGTAGTTCTCGTCGTCTCCGCCAACAGCGTCGGCGTTCTGGGCATGGCGGCGGCATATAATTAGGGCTTGTAGATACTACAAGAAAAAAAAGGCTTCTACGAGGGGCCAAAAACGTCGTGGAAACTTATTCACGGCGCATTCTAGGCCCTCGTATATGAGGGTTCCGTAAATACTAAATTTTTTTATCTTGTAGAAAATAATAGATTTGTCGTAGAAAATAATTTCATTTGTATATTAAATTTAGGGTAAAGTGCATAAAACCCCCCTGAACAATTAGCCAATTGCATGAAACCCCCCTGAAATAAGAATTACCCCCTAAACTATCAAAATAGTGCACTTTAAGGACAAATCCAAAAATTGCTCTCATTGGAGACCACCGGAAATGTTTGATTACGAAATTACCCTTTAATGAAACTCTATCGTTTTTGTTTTAGTTTTGATGTTACTAACGTGGCAAATGCAATCTAAACAGCCAATAGTACTGTGACAGCACCTCACCTTATCACAATAACCCACTTAACACTTGAAAAAAAAACAAAAAAATTAAAGACCCAATTAGATTACACTAGTACATATTTTAGCGCCAAACACGGCGTTATGCATAACTCTTTCTCTCTCTATGCTCTCTTACGAGCTTGGTCTCCCGCAGCCACAGATATTACCGACCAATCACCTTCGGCAGCCATCTTCACCGACCAGCTGGCCTTCAAGGAAGTTCACGGTCTGTATAATGATCACCATAAAAGTTTATTGCTTGTGTCTGTTTGTGGTTCACCAGAATGAGATTTCACTAGTTCGATCACTGCGATTGCGTTGTTGCTTATAGCTTGTCGCCGGCGGTCATGGAGCTTAAGGTCGGCCTCTCCCTGGGTTTGATGCGATTTCCCGTTGATGCTTAGAGCTTCTCGCCTGCTGTCATGGAGTTTGACGTTGGGCTCTCACTGGTTTCTCTACGATTGCGTCGGTGATGCGTAGAGCTTCTTGTCGGCGGTCATGAAGTTTAAGGTTGGGCTTTCCTGGTACACTTTTGATTGGAGTGTCTAAGTCGTTTCCTATTACAAATGGGTATGAATCAAAGATTAGAATCTAATGAGTGTGATACGAGTCACCACCTACTTGTTTAGTTTTTTAGCTAAACCTCTGTTTTTGGTAATACAGAGATAAACAGTAGAGATTGTATCAAAATATATCACGGAAATTTGGACTTCTTTGTCAGAATCAAAAGTGAAATCAAAGATGCCATTGTTTATGATGCACGTGACCGGTCCTTTGGCATTAGAATTGAAGTTATCGAAGCTTAGCATCACTCGGAAAAAGGGTTTTAATTCAATCAAATGATAGCAAATTGTACCCATCACTTGTTCTTCTGATGACTATTATAGATGATTTATACCATTCAGTTTCTCTTCATCTTCCAATTGTAATGTAAATACATCCCACTGCCTCAAAAAATTCTGACTTTTTTGCAAAATCTTTTCACACCCACTCTCTCTCTTGTGATTGCTAAGCCCCTTCAAAATCTCAATTTCTATTTGTCTTCTATGAACACAGCTTCAACATTCACCTTCATTTTCTCCCAAAATCTTACGTTCAGCCATTTTCATATTCTAAAATATGTTATGCCCATATAACATATACATATATGGTGTATATATATATATATACCATCTTGATAGTTTTGCAGAGGATGAGAGTTGTATAGAAAGATGGAGATGTGGCAGGGATTAACATATTAGGATTTAATTAGGGCTTTTTATTGATTTCATATTGTAACAGTAATGAGGGTAAAACGGCCATTTTCAAAATACAACCTTCATTTTACCGACAAAATGAACCGGAACAGTGTCCCCTGGTTTATTTTGCAAAAATTAGAATAGTTTAGAGGGTTTTCTTTAAAAATAAAAGTTCAAGGGGTTTCTTTGAGAAAGAGAGTAAAGTTTAGGAGGGTTATTTGCACTTTATCCTTAAATTTATTTATAGTATGAATATTTTTCCGTTAATAATTAACTTATGAGGCACTGGCGCATGCCGTAGAAAAGTTTTCTACAGCGAATTGTAATTATCCGTAAATAATCTCACAAGGCACCGATGCATGCCGTAGAAAAGTTTTCTACGGCGAGTTGTAACTACCTGTAAATAATCTCACGAGGCACCGACGCATGCCGTAAAAAAGTTTTCTACGGCGAATTTTAGCTACCCGTAAATAATATAAACCATTTTCACGAGCTGCCATGTATCCTGTAGAAAAGTTATTTACGAGGATTTTCACTAATATACAGCCTTTTATTTATGGGGCTTTAAGCTCCCCGTAAATAAAAAAAATATATATTTTTATATATAAAGCACCCGTAATTAATGCCAATTAATCAATCATCCACTACCTGTAATTCACGTCCCTTTCAGTTATAATTCAATTCAAAAAACATATCCCATTAAACATATCAAAAGAGTTAAAATATTTTTACAATTCATCATTTATTAATGTGCCAAAACAATTCTACATTTATCGATGTTCCAAAACAGGAAGTAAATCTATTTGTCAAGAAAATCATCAATTTCCTAACACTTCTGTTGAAAAATTGATAAACCTTCTAACACTTGAGGTTCAGTCTGCACTTGTCAAAAAACCAGCTCACTATACAAAATCCAATGAAGTAGCTGCATCACACACGTCTCAAATTCAGAATGCTAATAAAAAAGGGAAAGAACAAGATTATCATTTATGAATCAAACACAAATATTTTGCTAAGAATTTCTTCTTCAGATCTGCCAAAAATATTTCAAGCAGATAATTTTCCTTAATTGAATACTAGATTTTTGCAAGTATGTATGAGAACAGACAATATCAAAATCTCTTTATATTCATGAGATAAAGAGAACACATATTCTAGCTGACTCGAACCATAAATTTAGGATTGTATTACACTTAGTGATCAAGTGTCCATGGCATTTTTGAATCACTTGACTAATTACTCAGTGTACAAGTTTTGTGTATTAATAATATATTCTTTGTTTTCTTTTACTATAAATTACCCACAATACAAATAGTCAAGTTTCACCTTACTAGGTGGATAATGGTCTATGTAGTCTAAAAACACTAACTAGATGCAAAAAAGCCCTTAAGAAATCAAGTCCAGTAGGTTGTGTTGATTTGCTCTCAGCTGCAAATCCTATCATGATTGGATTGTGTTTTCAATAGAGAATCACATAGCAAAACAGTCCAAAAATAAGCATATGATCCATTGATTTTAACAAAAACCTGTCCCTTCATGAAACTATCACTTTCTATTAAACATATACTAATTAGATAATATAATTTTTTTAACAAGACAGTTTTAAAGGAATCTTGAAGACCTTTCTCTCCCATACTTTATTCCTTTAATTTATATATTATTCCCTTGTCTTTGTAATGTACTTCCAGTAATATTTTTAGTATTTTCTTAAGGGTTAGCCCTCTTTGAAGGCTAGGGAACAAAACACCAACGTGTGGAGATTGGTTGTGTAAATTAAATTAAATCACATTTAACTTCCTCAAAAGCCTGATTTGGACATTGAAATGCATGGTTGGGCAATATTTCAAACTTTAAGTTGTCCATGCATTCAAGCCAGTAGTCATCCAATCAATTTCGTCTCGTCCCAATGTATAATTTCTTCTAAATTTCAATTATTCAATAATCACAAAGTTCAGATCGGTAAAAGCGTAAATAGTGTGAATTCATACTATTTGTCACAAATAGTTGACTTTTCAGTTTGACATTGTGCGAATTAATATTAGAAAAATGATAATCGAGTCCGCTTCATTGCAATGAAGTAGGTCTGCCATTTTGGCTGGTATTTTAGGTCCAAATAACATTGTTGTTAGTAGTATTATGAATTTAGTTTAGATGCGTTTCTTGAAGCAGTCACTAATGTGTTGGGCCATTTGAGTCTAAGCCCCATGTGTAAGGAAGAAGGTTCAACCCAAAAATTAATGGTCCAATACTTGACAGATCTATGTGTATTATGTGTCCATGCATCATTATTATAACAACATAGTTATCATGTCAACATATCCGAATGCTGAATACTTGACAGAGTTTAAAGCTGGGATTTTATAAAATGAATACAAAGCAATGCATGATTGATGGTAGATATTATTGGGCACTAAAAAAGCATAGCTAAAAATGAGATTTTAAAGTGGACAGAATCGGCTTACCGCTAAACAAGAACAGATAAAACAAATGGATGCATTAAGAAAACACTAATTGAGGAGAAGCTGAGAGGAAGACTTCTATCATAGTTGGTCATTTTGGAACCAACTATTAATAAATTTATTAAAATAATCTTTTTTAAACATAATTATAATTATTTATTAATCAACTATTAAGAGACTCAGTTATATATATATACAATGTAGTATACTGTGTATAAGCAGATATGGTATGAGCATTCCATTTTCAAAAAAATGTTGAACAGCCTTTGAAATTTTGTTTCACATCATCATAGAAGGATGGGCTTGACATGCGTAATCACCAAAATTAATTAAACCTTTTTAGCCAACTACTATAATCTAGATCACTCTCGCATCACTCGTGACTCTTGGTAGCATTACATTTTAATGACATATCAAATTATAATATTTAGTGTTTTCAAGATTCACGGTTGATATTTTCTTTAATCTCTGTCTAAAGTTTGGATGACTACTGGCTTGATTGGTTGTATTAATTAAATAAAATCACATTTAAATTTTCTGTTAAGCCCAATATCAAACCCAACTAGCATTACTAGACCTAAGCAATCCTTCGTGCATAAAAATAATAAATCAAAAAGTAGCAAAAATGGTCACTTAAGGCACGTGACCCCCTATACACCATAATATGCAATGAATGAAAACCAAACTCCATCCGCAATCATTTCCCGACCTCCATTTATGCACAATAATAATAAAAATATGGCCACTTAAGGCATGTAACCCCCTATACATCGTAATATGCGATGAATGAAAACCAAACTCCATCCGTAATAATTTCCCAACCTCCATTTATGCATAATAATAAAAAAAAAAATGGCCACTTAAGGCACGTGACCCCCTAAAAAAATCAACTTTTTAAGCATATAATGCATTGCCATGGTGATAATAAAAATGAAGAAGCATAGTATTTGACCTTTGTTATAGAATGGAATCATACAAATTCTGATTCTTCTGCTCCTAATGAACTGGTGATAATCAATCCTGTCAGAAAAAAATATTTCAAAAATGTAGTGCCAACAAATACATAAAAATCAGATCGTATGACTAATTTAAGAAATATAATAATACGTTAGTGAATGACTAATTGACCTGTATAATTTTCACATATTTCTTACTGAGCTTGTGTTAGCATCAATACAATTCCTCTCTCTTAGTCCTCTTTTTGCACCCACTTTAGAGGACTTTATATGAGAACATATGCAAGATAAGAAAATAAGAAAAACCATTAAAATTTAATACGAGGCAAAAAAATAATTTAAGAAGTATGAGTTAATTAAATTAGTAATAAATATTAGTGGCTATTTGATGAGGCAAATGACAGGGCATATAAGTCAAGGAAGTTTCTAATACTTAAACGAGTATATGAAGGCCACTCCTTGGCTTTCCCTCTCTTTCTCTCTCTTTTCTTTTCTTTTCTTGGGAAAATTAGTGTTCAAGAAGTGTGAAGTGTTCAATTATCTAGCATGTATTGGGTAAATTTCTTTTCAATAAATTTTAGATGACAAAGTGTAAAAGTGCTTCTAAAGCTGCAGCTGCTTTCTTTTTTCGTTGATAATAGGGACTTTTCATGTGGTACTAATACTCTTTAAGCATTATCTATGAAGATAACATAATTGACATTGTTTAATCGCCTTGGATTTTAGGATTTAGTATACAAATCTTTGCAAGGTTATTAAAGAACGAGAGGATTCACTGCTGCTAAAAGAAGTAATTTTATCAAAACAAGTTCTTGAGACAATACAATATTGAATTCATTGAAAAATATAGTGTACATTAGGAAGGCATTTCCTGAATTAACAAGGAAACTCTAGGTCCTAATCTTGAATCATGGCCTTCATGGAAAAGAACACTCCCTGTGATTGCTTAATCATTGAAGCAGAAGAATCAACTTCTCTAAAACAAGCATCTTATGAGAAAAAATAATATGACAAAAATGATCAATTGTAGAAATCAACGAACTTCACTTAGGAAGAACTAGTAATTGAACAAGAGAACCTCATATATACATAGCCCAATTTATTACCCACATATAAATACGTATATATAATAACTTGGACTATTTAAATTTGACTAGAAATAGGTACAATTTATTTAACTTTTCTGAAAGGTGACCAACATGGGTGAATTTTTTAATCATCTATGATAAACTTATAACGACCTTGATTTTCATTTTATTTTATTTTTTCTACTCAAATTTCCACTATTCAAATAAATTTGACACTTTAGGGATTTCATATGAAATTAAATTGTGTTCTAAATTTTATGATTTATAGTACTAATTAATGCTCCAAAAGTTTATTTTCTTAAAGATAACCCACCATTTATAAATTTTATTTTCATCTTGCAAATTAAATTTGTTTATTTCCCCTTTTTGCTTTCATGAAACCTTTGCAAAATTACGAGATGTAATTAATCCGATTGAATTTTAGAAGTGAAAGATTTAGTATTTATGGGATTTGAAAAGAAAATAAGAAATACTTTGACTGCGAGCAACTGTTCGGATGTTTCTATTAAGCTATCAATCTCAAACACTTTCTTCTCCAAATGATATAAACAAATAGCTCGCTCAAATAGATCAAATTAGGAATCAGTTCACAGATACACACACACACACACACACACACATACAAACATATGTGCATAAAAATGTATAGATATAGAGAAAATTTTGTGAAAAAAATTAGACTGATAATGGAAAGGATGAGAGGCAACTGTAACAAGGTACGTACCGTCGTCCATGGTGGCTCGATTCAACTTCAATTTATGGTCGCTGGTTGAAAACCCTAACCTCTTCGCTGGTCGCTTGCGGAATGATCGACACCGTCGGGAGTCCAATCTGAGAAAGATAAGTTTAGGAAACCAAGCTTTCTTTCCTCAAATTACTGCCATCAACACGGTCCAGAAATCACCATAGGCTTTGGGACTATTATAGAGCTGTTTGGTCCTCTAATGGTATTCCTAAACATTGCTTTATCCTATACAATGATTCTTTATAAAATGCAACTTACATATTTCTAGCCTTATGCCCTTTTGTTAAATCACTGACACCAAAAATACATACATACATATATATACACACACACACACACACACACATAGATATAGATATATATTCATATAAAGATATACATGATGATTGGTGTGCCGCTACACCGACGCCTGAAAAATGTTACACTATTGAGTGTGAGTGTGTAAAGTGGTCAAGTTTTAAATTTATGAATGTCACTACTACCTCTAACTAAAAATATAGCTAGGGTGAGTAGGGATCGTCCCAAGGGATTGTGGGCGTGTCTTTGCAATGAAAATAATGTATAGGATTAGTAGGTCAAGTGATCAAAAGATGGTTTGATTGATTGATTAAGCTATTATGCAAATTAATTAAAGCAAACAAAACACAATGATTTTAGAGAATAGGAGAAAAGAAATATAGAGGGGAGGACTTGGGATAGTAGAACTCACCACTAAGTTTGACTTCACTAGACACTAGCAATTATATATTAATGGGGAAATTGATTTGTAACTTGTGTGTGTGTGTACATTAATTGAAACTAGGCATAGATGACAAATAAGCATAGGTTGTCTAGCCAATTCATATGGAAAGCACAACCAATCAAATAAGACCAAAATCCATTTAATGAAAACACAATTTATGCACACACTACTATCTAGAAACATACGCCACTTGCATTCATAAGTATAGAACACCAAGGAACAAGAGTAGATTGTCCACCTATCTATGAATCTAAAACAATTACACTACATCTACACTAAAGACATGGAAATTAAACTAAGTAAGCTAAATGTGTGGCATAATCCATCAAGAAACAAGTATGAACCATCAAATAAATTGCAAGAGTGTTCAATTAAGTTCTATGTTTTGACCATCTCTAGATTAACTTCATTCATACACATAGACATGCATAAATTCAACTAAATCTAGAGAAAAACACATGAATCATCCATTCTAGCATACATAAACATATGAGTAGAAGTAGATAATTAATTGAAAGCATTAATCCATACACATCAAGTAGAAACCACAAGATATATATATAAATCTAAGATCAAAACATTTGTTACAAATAAATCCTCAAAAATACACAAAGAACTAAGTCTAAGAAGCAAACTTAGGGGCTATTCTAGCCCCAAGTAGATGTCTAGCCACTCATTGAAGTAGTCATCCAACCCTCAAGGGCTATCTCCATGGTAGGCATGAACTCCTTCTTGATGGAAACCTTAGAAGAATGGAAGAACTCCCAAAGGTGTATGAAAAGCTCTCTAGTCTCTAGCCTTTTCTCCAAGATAAGAAAATATACAAGTTTTTGTGAATTCTCAAGTATGATACAAGTTATGATGTAAAAATGGCTCAAAATCCTTATATAGGTAGGTCAAGTGTCACACCCAATGGTCTGGGCTCGCACACCAAGGTCCCTCCAATGATTGCACATGAGCCAACTTTTAATGAGCTGGAATCTATTTTTTTTTTCAGACTTGAGGAGGGTCGATCGATCGAACTGTGGTGAGATCGATCGAACTTGGCTGAAATCCATCGAATATTGCAGAGATCGATCATCCTTGGTGGCGCCTTTTTGAATAAAGACAAATCTCTGAGATATTTTGGGATATTTTTGGGAAGAAGATAAAAGTGGTAGGTGGGATGCTAGGTGTGGATAAGATAGGATAAGATCAAAGAAATGTTGGATCGATCGAACTTGTTGGATTCTTTTGGATAAGGATAAAGGCTTAGATCGATGAACTCCAGATCGATCGAAGTAATTCTGAGATCGATCGAATATGCTGAATTTCTACACTTTGCTTTCACTTTGCTCATTTCTTCCATTTAGCTTGAGATTGCTTCATTTATGCTCTTATTTGGCTGAATTGACTTATTTTTGGGATAAGCACCTAAAAAGGGCATTAATACGAAATTAGTCTAAAACGGAAAAGTAAGATAGATAAAGGTCCTAGAATGCTCAAGCTTAAGGGGTTTAAATGCGCACTTTTCATCGCTCATCAATGACCAAAACACCGAAAAAATAAGTTGGGCATAAGGCAGGGAAGACAAAGATACCATGTTGAAAGGACATTAGAAGTATTCCAGCTTAAAAACTCACGAATGCATGATGTAATTATAAGATAAATAATAAAGAAGAATATAAAATAGTATAGAATGAAGTCATATGAATCCCTCACCAGTTCCTAATGAAGCCTGTTACTTTGTTGAAATGCAGTAGCCTTCTTCTCCATCAAGAATTGAAATCAGAGCTCTTCCCTGAAATTAAACCAGAAGTTCTATTTTAGGCAGATTAACATAAGCTACTAAAAGTTCAGACACAAGCTACAAATAGCAATTGCAGTGGAACTCCAAGCATATGGACCTTGACAGAAATCCAACTTAGGTTCAAGTTGGATTTGAGTAGTGGAACTCCAAGCACATAGACCTTGACAGAAATCCAACTTAGGTTCAAGTTGGATTTGAGTAAACTACTAGCTGAATTTGTAAAGAACGTAGGAAGATATATATATGTGTATATATATATTGGTTGACAGGCACAAAGGAAGAAATATACAATAACACACATAATTAATCCAAATAATAAGATTGTAAGTTATTCTTTTAACAGACGAAACACAAAATCAAAACAAAATTTCTCCTAAAATTGATAACAGATATCCTTCTAATAAACAGGTAAATATAGCATCTAAATTTGATCCAAATATATACATTAGCAATTTAGCACACACAAAATAGAACAAAAGTAATTAAATATGAAATATGTATGTTTGAATGTATATACAATAGCAAAATTGCGACAAAATTAATCCAAAAGTACTTAAATATGAAATATGTATGTCTAAATGTATATACAATAGCACAGTTACAACAAAATAAAAGCAAAAGTAATTAAATATGAAATCAATGTAGAACACATCAAAATTTAACCACAAATTGACCTTTTCATTGCAAGATCAGTTTAGACTGAGAAGAAGGCTTTAATCGCTCACTAAAAACATTCAACATAAATATATCCCTTTTAACAAATGGGAAAAGAAAATCAAGAAATAAAATACAAGTAATTAAATATGAAATATAGATGTCTGTATGTATATACAATAGCACAATTGCAACAAAATGAAAGCAAAAGTAATTAAATATCAAATCAAGATAGAGCACATCAAGATTAATCCAGAAATTAACCTTGCCATTGCAAGATCAACTTAACTGAGAAAAAGGGTTGAATCACACCTACCCCCCCCCCCCCCCCCCCCCCCCCCCGCCCCCCATATCCAAAAAAGCAAACACGTTAATTGATGGATAAGCAGACAGAAATTCCGAAAAAGGAACCAATTAAATCAAAGGATTAATTGATAGAATTATAAACCCAAAACCCCTAATATATATATATATATATATCAAAGAGGGATGTATCAAATTGTACTTGCATGTTCCAGCACCACCATGTACCTCAAAAAACAATATACACAAACCAAGACTCTAATGCAGCAACCTACAAATATCCCATACCAAATGAATCTCTTTCCTCTCTCTCTCTCTCTCTGTGCAATTCCATAAGAATCTTAAAAACAAGTCCATTAAACAAAAAAATTCTGTATGTTAATTTTCTCCATGATGAAATTTGCGATAATATAACAAAATAGAAAATTCTAGGGTTAATAGCAAACTAATTTTGGACCCACTTTTGCATATAAATATTGATTGGAATGAGACCAAAAATTCAGAAGATAGAAAATCTTACTTATTTTTGCGATTCTGTTTCACTTATCAGTCAGTGAACAAGTGATATTTTCCTATAGTTAGGTGATGTTAGTGTTGTGTTGAGAGAGAGAGCGCGCGCACCCTAGGCCTGTTGAGGTGTGTAGGGCTGGGACGAATGGCGGTGGTAATTCTGGACTTCTCCTCCGACGTCGGCAAGGCCGATACGCACAGAAAACGATACATATATATATATCAGCGAAATTTGTATAAATGTTATCGATAAAAAAATAAAAAAATACTAAAATAAAATAAAATATGCTAGACTGAAACCACACAAAATGAAAAAAGATCTAAAAATCGTAACTTAGACCAACAAAAATAGAAACAGGTAGAAGAATCTTACATTTCTCTTCTTAATCCTCGAGTCTCCTCCGGTGCCACCGTTGCTCTGTCTGAAACTCATACCTTGTCGGAATAGTAGAGCTTCACTGAAACTCATGCCTTGCCACACCTGGTTCACTGGCGTCGCTGCTCCACCCTAACCCCAGTTTTGTACTACACATCAAAGTCCTAACCCTAATTTCGTAAATACATTAACAAAATTGAAATCCCTAGCCTGTTTGTAGGCATCCTCTTCAAAAATTGAACTCCTATGGCCCAACTTTAACATCAAAATCGCATAGATGAGTCATGTATTCATCAAATATGAAAAAAAAAAAAATCAGGATTCGATTAAACAACAGATCAATACACAAACACACACACACACACACACATGTCTAGATTTAGGAAAAAAAATGATTAAAATACTAACTATATAGATATATGGAGATCAACGAAGAGAGAGTTTGCTACGGAAATCATTCTACTGTTCGCTATGGTTGCTACAGAAACTGAGGAGATGAAAAGGAAAGAAAATTTTCATTCTTATGCTTCAGTCGTTCTTCATTTTCTTTCCATTTCTGGGCATTTCCTCAGCAACCAAACAGAGCACAAGAGAATCAAAGTAAAAACAAAACGGATTACAAGATTGTTGTAATGACTGATGATGGAAGGAGAGAGAGCTGTGATGACCGATGATGGAAGGGCGAGACCGGTGATGGAAGGAGATAGAGCTGTGATGGAAAGAGAGAGAGCAGTTGAAGGAGATAAAGCGTTAGGGCTAAATGAAATAGGACAGTGTTTTACAGTGTATGAATTGGCCCCCAAAAAATGACATAGTTTAGGGCCCAAATAGTCAAATGCATATAAATCAGCGGGGGGAAAAAAATGGAGTGAAGGGCAAAAAATGGAGGGAAGGGAAGGGCTATTACCAGCCAGCGCTCAGCGCTGGTACTATTCCATTGGGAAACTTTTATTGCTTATTTACTGTTCAAAAAAGGTGTCTTAGATGTAAAATTTATCCACGAGCTCTTAAATACACCGTAAAAGAACTTAACTTCATTTTTTTCATTCTTTCCAATATATATTTTTTAAGTAATTTTATTAATTGTAGTTTTATTGCTTATTTACGGAAAAAAAGGCTTTAAATGTGAAATTTTAGTGCTTTATCAACGAGGAACATTTATCCTGTTAAAGGTGTACAAATATGCCGTAAATATATCTAAATATTCACGGGCTCTTTAATACATCGTAAAAATACTTTTCTACGACGATTCTACTAAATCATCGTGAAAGTATGACTTATAACGTAACAATTACGAGGATTCTTTTAAAAACTCCATAAATGGTAGTAATCATGAGGCAAAATAAAGAAGCCCTGTAAATACTATGTCGTAAAAGCCCACTTTTCTTGTAGTGAGATACTGTGAAGGGGAGGAGAGATGCACGTGACAGAAAATAAAAGGGTAGGCAAGTAATTAAAATTACATAAACACCTAGGTTATAATGAGGTCCAGATTCAAAGTAAGGGTACTTTTGTACAATAAACCTAGTATTTGCCACATCATTAGCTAAAATTGGTTAGAACTCAAAACTACATCATTTAATATAAGGGCTAAACGGTAATTTAACTTTTCTGTTAACGGCTTATTAATGATTTGTGCATATGTGCAACAGAATGATAGTTTAGGGAGTTTTGCTTACTTCAGGGGGGTTTCTTGCAATTGGGTCATAGTTTGGGGGGTTTAATGCACTTAACCCATCTTACCTCTGTCTTTCGAAACCTAACTTGAACAATTATGTTTTGACATGAGAACCCGTAGCCTCATGAAGTATTTACGCCCAGACAATTTCAGTCAGCTAAAAACTGACATTGTAGTTTCAGTCGACTGACATTTGATTTCAGCCGACAGAAATTCTTGTTACTCTATATTTAATTTGATCCACTACAGAACTTATTCTAAACCACTTCTGCACCAATCATTGACTTGTTAAGTTTCTATTTGGATCTCATTGATGTTCTTTGGTAGTTTAACGTCATAATTGATCACTACAAATCGATTTAATTTTTCAGAACAGTAAAAATTTGGCACAACATTTCATTAGAGTAGTTCACGTAAGGTATTTTGCTTCGTCAAAATTATTAACGGGAAAGGATAAATCAATTCCATGTTATTTATCATATTGTGGATATGGATTGTGATGTAGACTCACTGTGGGCTGACAATTAAGGCAGTCTCACAAGTACCTATTGGTATGGTTGACTTGTGATGAGCGCTGAAAAGTGCGTATTTAAACCCTTTAAGCTTAGGCATTCTAACACCTTTATCTATCTTACTTTACCATTTTAGATTGATTTCGTATTATTTCCATTTTCATGCACTTATCCCGAAAATAAGCTAACTCAGCCAAATAAGAGCTTAATTGAAGCAATTTTGGGATTAAACAAAGAAATGAGCAAAGTGGAGAAAGAAGAAAGCAAATGAAGCCAAATGTGGGAAGCAGCAAAGTTCGATCGATCCAAGTTAAAGGTTCGATCGATCGAACAATGATCGATCTCAGCACTTCAAGATAGATCCAAAAGCATAAAGTCCAAAAGTTCGATCGATCCAACACCACCCTTCGATCGATCCAACACCACCCTTCGATCGATTGAACACTTTTGTCCTTATTCAAATGATTGATCCTATCCATAGCTGTACCACCCACTAACCACTTTTGTCCTTTTCCCAAAAATATCTCCCCAAAATATCTCGGATTTGTCGTTTCCCAAAAAGCTCAACCAGTTGGATCGATCCAGCCTAAGTTTGATGGATCTCAGCAAGTTTGATAGATCCAAGTCCAAGGTTCAATCGATCGAACTTCCTCCAGTGCGAAAAAGTTAAATTTCCATCTCATTGAAAGTTGTCCTTTGTCCAATCATTATGGAATATTGTGTGCACGATCCCAGCTCATTTTGGGTGTCATTTTGACCTGCCTATATAAGGATAAGGATTGCTTTTTACAAAGGGAGCCAATATCATTTTCATATCATCTATTGGAGAGCAAGCTTAGAGGAGGCTAGAGACACCATTGGAGATTCTTCATCAACCAAGGAGCAAATCTCTTCCATGGAGTTAGCCCTTGAGGGTTTGGAGCAACATCACCATGAGTGGCTAGACATCTTCTTGGGGCTAGAGTTAGCCCCAAGCATGCTTTTTATATCTTAATCTTGTGTATTATTGAGGGATTAGTGTTGTAATTGATATTTTGACACTTTGATACATATAGATCTTGTTTATTCAATGATTTATGTGGTTTAATGCTTCCAATTGATCATTTCATTCTATCCATATGTCTATGTATGCTAGAGTAGATGTTCATGTGCTTGTCTCTAGATTTTGTGTTGTTGATGCATGTCTATGTGTATTGATGCTATAGATTTGGAGATTGTCAAGACATAGTGCTTAAAAGAATGCTCTTGTGATTCTCTTGATGGTTCATACTTATTCCTTGATGGATTGTGCCTCTCCCCTAGTTTATTTTCATGCTAGTAGTGTAGTTGTAGTGTAGTGTTAAATGGGAGGACAATCTATGCTTCTTGTTTGATGATCCAAGCTTTTGAATGCAAGTAGCATATGTCTCTATCCTCGTGTTGTATTTGGATTGTGTGAAAGGATTAATGACTTATTTTGATCTATTGTGCCTTTCACATGTTGTTTAGACAATATATGCTTCATTGCTTAGATATATTGTGCCTTTCACATGATGTTTAGATAATACATGCTTAATTGGTCATCTTTGTTTATTGAACCAACCAAACACACACACACACCAATATTGTAACACACCATTTGCCCTAATTAATCACTTGTCAATGGTATAGAAATGCATTGCTTGGTGGTGATCTCTAAACCCCAAGATCTCTCTCTCTCTTACTTACTCTTAATTGCATTCTTTGTTATCACTTAGTTTAATTTAGTTGCTCTCTAGTTTAATCAACCAACCAACCATTTGTTTGATCACTCGACCTACTAGCCCTAATAGCGATTCCACGACCTTGTTCGTTCTTCACAATCCCTTAGGACGATCCTCACTCGCCCTAGCTATATTTATAGTGAAAGGTAGTAGTGGCTTCTATAAATGTAAAACTCTTGGCCCTCGCTTTATAATGCACACATTCTTCAAGCTTGATATGGTGTAGCGACCCTCACAAAGACCAAGTCAGTTTTTGGCACCGTTGCCGGGGATTTGATTGATTTGATTTGGCAATGTTGGAATTGTGGAATTTATTTGGATTAATACTCTTTTGATCGTGTCTTTTCTTTACTTTTATTTTTCTTTTTGGTTACTTATTGTGTTGTTCTTACTTATATAGGTGTATTGTTGGAGAGGAAGCAAGCAAAGGAGCATTCAAGCTAAGCAAGCAAGGAAAAAAGCTAAAAATTCTAAAAATTTGCTAAGCTAAGCTTTAAATTTGGAGTTGAAGTCCTAAAGGACCTTTGTGAGACTTTCTTTACTCAATCCCTTAGTTAAATCATCGGCCCGTGTGGAGGCTTGTTTTTATTTGTTCTTGCATCATTGTTGTTAAAGCATGGGAGTATGAATTAAGTGTTTGTAGAAGAAGTCTAATTGCATTGTTGTGAAGGCATAGTGGTTATCATTCTTTGTGTTTCGCATTGTGCATGCATGAACGTCGTTCATTGAGACCAACTCTTGTCCCTCTTGATTTGCATCTTGAATCCATCGTTAGAAATCCTAGGGGAAAAGGAAGTTCAAATAGAACCAATCTATTAATGGATGACCATAATAATGATCATGTTGAGGACCTTGGTCACATAGACCAACAAGGTATTCTTTATCCCAATGCGCACAATGAGAACATACAAGTACCATTAGGCATGCCTAGGCCATTCATTCACCAACCACCACAACAACAAGGCCAAGCTCCATATGGAATGCCTAGGCCAATGTATGCTCCACAACTTCCCATCATCAATCAAGGAATTCAAAACCAAGGTGTTCATGTTGCACCTCAAGTAGCTAATCCACCTCTTGCTTTAAGAGACCATTATGTGCCTAACGAGTATAATGCACCTACATGCATCCAATTAGCTCCATTTAGAGCGCATCATTATGAAATTAAGTTACAAATCATTCAAATGCTTCCTAACTATCATGGACTTCCAAGTGAAGAACCTTACAAGCATTTGGATGAGTTTCTTGAAGTATGCTCCACCGTAAAATATACGGATATTCCGGAAGAGGTTTTAAGACTCAAACTTTTTCCATTTACCTTAAAAGACAAGGCAAAGTATTGGTTTAACAATCTTAGGCCTTTTTCAATCACTTCTTGGGCAGAAATGCAACAAGAGTTCTTGAAGAAGTACTATCTGGTTTCAAAGACCAATGCCATGAGAACCTCAATTCAAGAGTTTTCACATGGGG